TTTTTTTTCTCATTGTACCATTTCCTTGAAATGCATCAAGTCAGGATGAGTGTAGGCACTGTGTCCCTGGGCTCTTTTGTGAAACCCTGGTTTGTGGACTGCATGGATCAGGGACGCTGTGAGTTGGCACATGGACACTGAGGCCCTCCAGTTTCCATTGCTGCATAGAGACCTTTAGGGAAGGAAAGGCAGCAGCTCCCTATGCTAACGTGTCCCATGTCCACATGGCTTCTCTTGTGACTATCATGCTCCCTGGGGTGGTGGAAACTGAAGTCAATGCCTAAGCTGGTAAAAGACTCCCTGATGAAGATGCTGGAGTCCCTGGGTCATGCAAACAGTTAAGTGTTTCACCACTAACCAAAAGGTTGGCAGTTCAAAACCACCCAGTGGCACCTTGGAAGAAAAGCCTGGCAATCCACTACCTAAAGGTAACCACCTTAAAAATCCTATGAAACAGTTCTACTCTGCACACATGGCATCACCATGAGTCAGAATCAACTCATGGTACCCATTGTTGATGCTGTGTGGGGATGTTGAGCTTCCCTGAGCTGGGGTGGCCCACACCCACACTGGCCTCATCCCCTGTGCCATGGTGGGCTCAGCAGGGGTCCCTGATGAAAGGTCTATGCTCTCTACCCAGCTGCACTTCCTACCCCACAGAGCTCCCAAGACCTGGTGTTGTGAGAAGACAGTATGTCCTATGAGTGTGGCTGCAAGGTATATCTGAACCCACAGCTGGTGGCAGGCAGGCATCCACCTCAACATTCACCAGGTGGCTCTGGGAAGGAAGCAGTGTGCTCTGGTACCCATTTCACAGACAGGGAAATGGAAGCTGAATAGACAGTGGTGAGGTAGGTCAGACTGCTCCAGCTCTCCCATCTTACGAGGAGAAGAGGGGCTGATGGGGTGGGTTGGGGGCCTCACCTGCAGCTTCCAGATGTGCTTGCTCTCCTTGGAGACCTGGCCCACTGTCTCCCCCATGAGGGCGATAAGCATGTTCAGAAGAAGCACGAAGGTGAGGATGATATAGGTGACAAGTAGGATGATAAAGACCACAGGGTACTTGGTGCTGCTCAGCATCTCCAGGTCACCCATACCGATGGTCAGCTTGAAGAGGTCCAGGAGGAAGGTGCTGAAGGTCTCGCTGTCACGGCATGAAGGGTATGTGGGCACCGAGCAGTTGGTCTGGTCCTCGTGGCACACCTTCATGTTGGCACAAGGGTTCAGGAGGGATACCAGGGCTGTGTGGAGGGTGAGGGGGGCACACATTAAATGGTGAAGAGCTGGAAAGCATCATTACCATTTTATGGTGGGGAAAGCTGAGGCTTGGAGAGGTGAGAGCGCTAGCTCAAGGTTACCCAGCTAGTCGGACAAGCCAAGACGTGAACCCAGATGCTCCTGATTCCAATGCCCATGCTCTTTCCCAAAACTCTTCCTGACAGGGAAGAAGTGTACAGGATCTGGTCCAGTGGTTCTCAACCAGGGGTAAACCCCCCCCAAAAAAAATGCAAGAGCCTCAAGCAGGATAAAACCAAAGAGATCTACACCAAGACACATCACAGTTAAGCTCTCAAAAACTGAAGAGAAAGACAGAATCCTGAAAGCAGTGAGAGCGAAACAAAAGGTCACATACAAATGATCCCCAATAAGATAAAGTGCAGATTTCTCTTCAGAAGCATTGGAGACCAGAAGGCAATGGAATGATATATTTAAAGTGCTGAAATGAAAAAAGAAAAAAGACAAACAGAGAATACTATACCTAGCAAAACTATCCTTCAAGAATGAGAGTGAAATTAAAATATTCCCAAACAGAAGCAGAGAGAGTTCATATCTACCAGACTGGCCATACAAAAAATACCAATGGGAGTTCTGTAGATGGAGGGGAAAAGACATTGGAAAGTAAGCCAAGGCTATACATAAAAACAAAGATCCCTAATAAAGGGAGATGCATAGACAAGTATAAGGGCTAGTAAGAAGGTATTCATGCTTGGTAATTCTAAATGTTTCTTTCATGCTTATCAATAACAGATATATAAAAAACAAGGATAAAATTAGGTTACAGGGCACATGAAATATAAACATGTAATTGGTGATAACAACAACAAAAGTACGAGGAGAGGAATAGTACAGGTACAGAATTTCTTGTATGTTACTGAAATTATGTTGTTTTCAACATACCCTAGAATGTTACAAATACAAGGTCCTAAATGTAACATCCATGGTAACCACTAAGAAAATATATTTAAAAACTAAACAAAAGCAATGAGAACCAAAAAGTCTCACTATAATCAACCAACAAAACACAAAAGCAAGAATACAAAAGGACAAAGACAAAGGGGGCTTGAGACACACATGAAAAAACAAATTGAAAAACGGCAGAAGTCAGTCACATCTTATCAGCAATTACAGGGAATCCAAGTGGATGAAATGCTCCAATCAAAAGGCAGAGAATGGCAGAATGGATAGAAAAACATGATCCAACCATATGTTGTTTACAAAAAACACACCATAAACCCAAGGACACAAATAAGGTGAAAGTAAAAAAAATAGGAAAAGAAAAATATTCAATGTAAATAATAACCAAAAGAGAGCTGCAGTGGCAATATTATCAGACAGACTTTAAGGCAACATCTGTTAGAAGAGATAAAGATGGATATTATACAGTGATAAAAGGGTCAATTTATCAAGAAGATCTAATAATCATAAACATATATGCACCCAACATTGACCAAACCAAACTAAACTCACTGCCATCGAGTCAGTTCTGACTCATAGTGACCCTCACAGGATTTCCAAGACTGTAAATCTTTATGGAAGCAGAGTGCCTCATCTTCCTTCTGCAGGGTGGCTGGTGGGTTTGAACCACTGACCTTTTGGTTAGCAGACAAATGTCTTAACCACTACACCACCAGAGCTCCTTCATCTAACACTGGAGCATGTAAATACATAAAGCAAACACTGATAGACTGGAAGGGAGGAATAGTACTACAATAATATTGGAGACTTCAGTACTTCACTTTCAATATTGGACAGAACATCTAGAAAGATCAACAAGGAAACAGAGACCCTGAATGACACTGTAGAACAACTAGACTAGACAGACACACATAGAACACACCACCCAAAACAGCCCAATATACATTCTACTCCCATGTACATGGACCATTCTCTAGGACTGACCACATTTTAGGCCACAAAGCAAGTCCTGATAAATCTAAAAAGATTGAAATCATACCAAGTATTTTCTCTGACCACAACGGAGTGAAGCCAGACATTAATAACGGGGGAAAAAAAACCCTGGAAAATACAAAAACATATGGAAATCAAACAACATACTATTAAACTACCGAAGGGTCAAAGAAGGAAAATGAAACCACAACATACCAAAACTTAGGGAATGCAGCAAAGGCAGTACTCACAGGGAAATGTACAGCAATAAATGCCTACATTAAAAAAAAAAAAAGGAAGAATCATCTCAAATCAGCCTAACTTGATAACTCCAGAAACTGGAAAGAGAAGAATAAACTAAGCCTAAACCTACCAGAAGAAAAGAAATAACAAAGATCAGAGCAAAAATAAATAAAATTGAAAACAGAAAAACAATAGAGAATCAATAAAACCAGAAGTTAGTGCTTTGAAATTACTTAGCTAGACTGACAAAGAAGAGAAAAAATGCAAATAACCAAAATGAAAAATGTAAGAAGGGATAAAGCAACTGACCCTATAGAAATAAATAGAATTATGACAACATATTATGAACAAATGTATAGCAATGAACTGGATAACGTAGATGAAATGGGCAAATTCTTAGAAGCACACAACCTACCCAAACTGACTCAAGAGGAAATAGAAAGTTTCAACAGACCCATAACAAGTGAAGGGAACAAATCAGTGATCCAAAACCTCCCAACAAAAATCTCCCAGACCAGAGAGATGGCGTCACTGGAGAATTCTACCAAACATATGAGGAAGGATTATTGATTGGAAAATGAATTTGCTTTGTAAACTTTCACCCAAACCACAATTTAAAAACATTCTCTTATGGAGCCATGAAAGGTGGATGAATCCCTAAAACTATTATCCTGAGATAATTTTTAAACCTTAAACCAAAAATATCCCCTGAAGTCATCTTACACAGAACAACAGTTTAGCTTAACTAGTAAAAAAGGTCTGCCTTTAGCATTATAGAACCTCTGGTAGCATAGTACGTAAGGCACTTGACTGCTAACCAGAAGGCTGGAGGTTCAAACCCACCAGCCACTCCTCGGAAGGAAGGTTGGGCAATCTACTTCTGTAGTGATACCGCTTCAGAAACCCAAGGAGGGGTCACTGTGGGTCGGGTCCAACTTAACGGCACATAACAACAACAACTTTAGCATTATGTGCTTTCAAGAACTAGAGAGAGAGCCCTGGTGGCACAGTGGCTTAAGCACTCAACTGCTAACTAAAAAGTCAGTGGTGCAAACCCACCAGCCACTCCATAGGAAAAAGATATCACAGTCTGCTTCTGTAAAGATTTACAGCCTTGGAAACTCTATGGGGCAGTTCTACTCTGTCTTATAGGATCACTCTACAAGTTGGAATCGACTCAATGGCAGTGGGGTGGGTTGGGTTTTGGTTTATATGGGATTGAACTGACAACAGCAACTTGAAAGATTAGATGGGAACCTTAGGGTGCAGTGAATTTATGTTAACAAAGGAGGAGCAACTCAGAAAAAGAGGGTGAGAATGCTCACACAACTTGAAGAACATCATCAAAGTCACTGAACTGCACACAGAAATGTTGAACTGGTAGGTGTATGCTTGGCTGTGTATAAACTCAACAACAACAACAAAATAAATGAAATTTAGGAAAAAAGAGACCTGAGCTGGTGGATCAGTTTACAAAAATGGTCCCAATCTTTCCCACATCCTACTTTGGCGAGTAGTAACTGGGATCTTAAAAGTTTGCAAGCAGCCATCTAGAGGCAATGGCAGGTCTCTCCTTGTCAGAGCAAATAAGAATGAAGAAAGCCAAAGAGGCATGGAAACAATTAGTCCAAGTGACTGGTACAGAGGCGATCTTCAGCCCATATGAGTATGAGTCCAGAAAAACTAGATGGTGCCAGCTACCACTGTCAGCCACTTAGACAGGGATCTATGTAGGAGATCCTAAATAGAGAGAGAGAACAATGTGGAACGAAACTAAAAATCATTTAAAAAGCGGGGGGGGGGGGGGTCCAGATTTGCTGGTCTGATGGAGCCTGGTGGGACCCCTGGGACTATGACTTTCAGGTCTGGAAATGGACCCACTCTTGTGGCTTCCAGCCAAACAAAAGACAGGCACATGAGCTGAACATTTACATTAGGTAGATACACTCCTTGGAGAGATCAATCATGGGAGAATAGAAGGACTGTGTATGTACAGGGAGACAGCTCAGGGGGCAGGAGTGCATGGAGGGAAGGACACAGGGAAGAGGTAACTATGGGGAAGAAGTGGGAGGGGAGCTGTTGCATTGTGAGAAACTGCAATCAATGTCATGAGACAAAGTGTATGGGAGCTGCTATATGGAAAGTGAATTTGCTCTGTAAACTTTCACCCAAATCACAATAAAAATTAAAAAAAAAAAAAAAAAGTCCCAATCTTTCAGCCTTCTCTGTGTCTAATGTGGCTTTACTACTGCATTGTGTCTAGTTCCCCACCCTGAGTCAGGGCTGGCCTTGTGACTTGCTTTGGCCAACAGAATGAGGCAGAAATGACTGTGCCAGGCCATGGGCTTTGCTCACCTAGGCTCATATTCTTGGAACCCTGAGAACACCAGGTGGAAAAGCTCAAGTCAGCCAGCTGGAGGATGAGGACCACGTGCAAGAGAGCAAAGTCACCCCAAATGAGGCCACCCTAGCTAGAGCAGTCAGCCCACGGCTAACCCACTAGCTAAGCACAAACACAGGTGCCAAGCTGAGATCAGGCAAACCTGGCCTCAGTCAACAGAGCTAACCAGGTGACTTGTAGACTTGTAATCAATAATGAATGGTGGTTGTTTTAAGCCACTAAGTTTGAGCTGGCTTAAATAGCTAATAAGGAGTCCTGGTTGGTGCAGCGCCTAAGGCATTTGACTGCTAACCAGAAGGTTGGTGGTTCAAACCCACCAGCCACTCCGCAGAAGGAAGATGGGGCAATCTACTTCCATAAAGATCTACCACCTTGGAAACCCAATGAGGGTCGCTATGAGTTGGAACTTGTGCTATGGTTGCTGTTGTTGTTATGTGCCGTCGAGTCGGACCCGACTCATAGTGACTCCTCCTTGGGTTTCTGAGGCAGTATCACTACGGAAGTAGATTGCCCAACCTTCCTTCCAAGGAGTGGCTGGTGGGTTTGAACCACCAGCCTTCTGGTTAGCAGTCAAGTGCCTTAGCCACTATGCTACCAGAGCTGATACACCAGCTTTATCAGTTACTAGCTTTTGAACTTAGGCAAGTTATTTAACCTAAGCCTCAGTTTTTGTATCTGAAAAAGAGGGTAATAAAGGTACTTACCTCCCAGGCTTGTTGGAAATCCAGTGAGGTAGGGTGGTGAGCACTAAGCCCAGGGCCAGGCACACAGCACCAGCTCCGTTAGGGTGTCTGCTCCAGGCCTTGCACCACCCCCGCTAGTCCCACCTGGGCACCCAGAGCTCACCTGAGGCGTAGCCGATCATGAAGAGGAAGTAGACGAGCAGGAAGCGGAAAAGGTCTTTGAAGAGGATCTACAGGGCCCAGTGGGGTCAGAGTCCAAGATGAGACATGGTTTCTCATACTCCCCATTCCTCCACCCCACACTTTCTCTCCACCTCTACCCTTGCCCACCCCAATGCCCAGACCTGCCTGCTGCCCCCACAGGGCCTCTGACCCTCAGGTACAGGGGCACCATCCACACAAATAAGATGTACATGTGGTGTGCATGGTTCCCTGCAGGGAGGGGCACACAGGTCCAGAGGGTCCCCCATCTGTACCTTCTGGATCATGATGCTGTAGGTTCCCGTCAGCTTCAACCCACGGGTGAAGTAGAGGGCGTTCATCCAGCCCAGGACCAGAGCAAAGACCATGACGGCCAAGTAGGCCTCAATCCCTGCCAGGTAGAGGGCCGCTGAGACAATCACCAGCACCGAGTAGATGAAGCTATGGGGCAGCAAAGGCCACGAGGGGGCCAGAGGGAGAGGGCACCATGAGGGCCTGGAGGAGGGGACATGCCCCCAAACCCTCTTGGGTATCAGGATACCCTTCTACAACCCCAGAAGAAATTCAAAGTGGATTAGCTGGGTTCTCTAGAATTCTGTTAACCAAGATGTTCAATTAACTGGCAATGAATAATGTATGTAATGGTCCCAATGCCCAAAAGATCCCAAAGTGATGCCCGTCAGAATTGCTAGAGAGATTCAGTGGGGATTTTGTGGTTAATTGAATTTCATTCTGAGGGAAATTGAAAAGATATGTTGTACACGCAGCAACTCCCTCATCCTATACTCTAGGCAGACATCACTAATCAATCAGTTCTTTTCCCCTTTAAATGCAGACAGAGCCTCAAGATTCTTCTCTATATGACACTGCAGACAGACATTAGCAATTGATCACCAGCATAAGAGAGTAAACCTATTTCTATTGATGGTGCATATGGTAACCCTCTAACAGCCAGAATCTTGCTTTAACCATAGGAGAATTTTATCTAGCCTTTGTCTTGTCCTAACTTTGTGTTGTAGGAGCTCTGGTAGCATAGTGGCTAAAAGCACTTGACTGCTATCCAGAGGGCTGGCGGTTCAAACCCACCAGCCACTCCTCGGAAGGAAGGTTGGGCAATCCTACTTCCGTAGTGATACTGCCTCGGAAACCCAAGGAGGGGTCGCTATGAGTTGGGGCCGACTCGACGGCACATAACAACAACAACAACAACAACTTTGGGTTACAGTCACCTGTGTTGGGTGTACTCACTCCTATCAGAGTCACCTCCTGCTCTAATCTAGATGACTCACCATCCCAATCCCACCTTCCTCACCCAGGGGCTGCTGGCCCAGGGACCTCTACTCACTACAGCAGCTGGAAGGAGCCATCGATGAAGAGGGAGTTCACGCCAGGGCATTTCTTCATGAACAAGTCTTTGATCTGGGAAAGGGAGGAAACTCATGCAAGGGGGGAGTAGTAGGTGAGGGTGGGCAATGGGGAAGGGCTACAAGAGGAGAGTGTACGGCGTGGTACAGAGGCCTGTCGGAAAAGGAGAAAGAAGGAAACTCCAGAGTTAGAGGAGAGTGAAAGAGAATGAGGCAAGATGAAAGGGGGTGGGGGGAGAGAAAGGAGGAGGAAGGGTAGAACCCGCTGCCGTTGAGTCGACCCCAAGGCCTGGCCACCCCACATGCGTCAGAGCAGAACTACACTCTACGGGGGTTCCAAAGGCTGACTTTTTCAGAACAGATCACCAGGCCTTTCTTCCCAGGCACATCTGGGAGGACTTGAATTGCCAACCTTTGGTTAGCAGTAGAGTGTGCTGACCATATGCACCAACCAGGGCTCCAGGAGCTCTGGTGGTGTAGTGGTTAAGACATGTGGCTGCTAGCCAAAAGGTTGATGGTTTGAACCCATCAGCCACTCTGTGGTAGAAAGATGAGGCAGTCTGTTTCCATAAAGATTTACAGCATTGGAAACCCAGTGGAGGTCGCTATGGTCAGAATCAACTCGATGGCAGTGAGTTTGGTTTGGTTTTTGAGGGACTCCAGGAAGAAGAGACCAAGACTCAATCCTGTTGCCACAGAGTTGATTCAGACTCATGATGACCCACGTGTTACAGAACAGAACTGGGCTCCACATGGTTTTCTTGGCTGCAATCTTCATGGAAGCAGATTGCCAGGCCTTTCTTCTGTGGAGCCACTGGGTGAGTTCAAAGCACCAACTTTTAAGTTAATAGTCAAATGCAAACCGTTTGTGCCATATAGGGCCCTGGAAGGACAGTGAGATAAAGGAGGAGGAGGAGTTCGTGTAGGGTGGGTGGTGTGTGGGAGGTAAACACTCACATTGGTGAAAAAGAATAGGACCCCAGTGAAGAGCGTGATGATCTCCCCAGCCAGCCTCATGTAGTCCACTGTCGTGCGGTAAGGATACGGCGGCTGGGGAGCAGAGGCCACACAGTCCTCACCCAGCCCCTCCGACATCTGGCCCCAACACCCCGAGCTCCAGCAGGGAGCCTCCTCCCTCACCCTCTTACCCCTGGACTGGCTGTGGGGTCTCCTCCCACCTCAGAGCCACCCCTGGGCATTGGGAGCACTCCCCACCCTGTCCCTAAGTCTTTCCAGTCCTTCACACAGGGGACCTGGGAGGGGTCAGGCTACGCCCAGTCCTGCGGGGCCCAGCCCAGTGCCCATGCCAGCTCGTGCCTGGCTCACAGCACTCACAGTGCCCTCCAGCGGCTGGTAGTAGGCAGTGAGGGTGAAGATGACCATGGCGCACAGGTAGGACACCACGCTGATGTAAAAGGAAACAGCTCCGAACTTACGCCACTTGTCCCGCAGCAGCTCGTTGATGGGTTCCACGGCCAGCATCTCGTGGCGGTTCTGCAGGAGGCAGGGAGGCGGGGGGACTCCAGGACACCTTCCAAGAGCTCATTCCCCTCCTGACCCATTCTCCAGCTACACTCAAGGGTTCACAGGGAAGTAGATGGGATTCTGAATGAAGTCCAAATTCCAGGGCTAAATGTTCGAGGCACTGCCCGATTTGGCCTTGACTTACTTTTCTATTCTATTCCTTTTCTAGGATCACAGAGCCCCAGAACTGGATGGCTCCTAGAGAACATCCATTATTACGAATCCTCAAGGTCAATCTGCAGATGGTACTCAGCTGCTGGCAGCAAAATCCCCGATGTGCTTGCTGAAAATACCAACCCTGGCACCACCCTCAGAAACTCTGATTCAAGAAGCAGGAGTGGGTATGACCAACTGTCCCTTTGTCAGAAGACCACAAGAACTAGATGGTGCCCTGCTCCCATTACTGAACATTTTGATCAAAGATTCTACAGATAACCCCAATCAAAAGGGTGGGGGGATGCACAACAGAATTCCAAATTCTCATGGAATTCAGACCTTTTGGAGCCACTGAGGCTGGATGAACCCCTGAAACTATTGCCCTGAGATTATCTTTAAACCTTAAACCAAAAATATTCTCTGAAGTCATCTTAAAGCCAAACGACATAAACCGAAAAAAAAAAAAAAAATTTGCTGTTGAGTCAATTCCAATTCATAGCAACCCTGCAGGACACAGTAAAACAGCCTCATAGGGATTCCAGGGCTATAAATCTTTACAGAAGCAGACTCTCTCACCTTTCTCCCACAGAGCAGCTGGCAAGTTCCAACTGCAACCTTCTGGTTGGCAGCTGAGCACTTTAACCACTGCACCATCAGGGCTCCTTAATTTAGCCCAAGGATGATCAATACTTGACCCACCTACTATAATTCTCCAATTCTGAACCCAGGACAGACATCAATAATTGAGCCCTGCACAAGTTTTCTGTACACTTCTCCTGGCAGTCACTACCAATCAATCAGTTTGCACCAATTGGTAGTTTGCTAAACATCCTGCCACCTCTGATCTAAATCAAGTTGGTTGTTAATTTCAAAGAGGAGGAAAGTGAGGCCCAGAGACAGGAGATACCTGTCTGTCAGAGCTCACAGAGCCAGGAAGCAGCAGAACAGGACTAGAAGGGAGGCTGGCTGCCCCCAGTGTTCAGCTCCTTCTACCTCATCTGTGTACCATCCTCCCTGGAAGGACTTGAGTTTCTTCATAGATGTTGATTTGTGTGGCAATGTAGCCACAAAGTTGTTACTTTTGTGTTACTCCTGACAGAAGGAAGCCTGAATGACCAACAACAGAGGAATAATTCATTGAATCTGGTGCATTTACAAGCAGCAATGATACTGCTGATGAATATCTAATGACGTGGAACCACGTTCACAAAATACTGCTAAGTGGAAACAAAAGCTTCTCCAACTTCACGTAACAACTACTGATGATAAGCCCACCAACAGTGTCTACCCTATGCCAGGCTGATCTGAAATCAACTCATTTTCTCCTTCCAACAACCCTGTGCACTATCCTTATCCCTGTGTTACGAAGGAGGAGACTGAGGCCCAGAAAGGTTGAGGCACCTGTCCTAAGCCACACAGCATGTAAGTTACAGAGCCAGGCTCTGAACCCAGTCCTGCTCTTTTAATTTTATTAATTGTAAAAATATATATCACACAGGATTTGTTGTTTCAGCATTTGTCAGGGATACAGCTTAGTGCCACCAATGGCCTTAATCATGTTGTGCAACCATCACCCATAACTGTTGCCAACTTTCCCATCAACAGAAACAGAACCTCACTGCTTCCCTCCCATCCAACCCCTGGGAACCACTGATAAACTTTGCCTTTTCTTGTTATTTCACAGAATTGAGATCATACAGCAGTTGTCCTTCTGTGATTGACTTATTTCACTCAGCGTATTTCAAGGTTCATCCGTGTCACATCAGGACGTCATTTCTCTTAATGACTAAATAATATGCTGTTGAATGTATAGACCACATGTTACCCATCCATTCATCTGCTGAGGGACATTTAGGCTGTTTCCACCTTTTGGCTATTGTGAAAATGCTGTGAACATCGGGATACAGGTACCTGTTTGTGTCTCTGTCAAAGCCCCACTCAGCATCCTCCAATAAGCCTTGTCCATTCCCCTCACCACCACATGCTGTTCCAGGCACTTGGTTGGCACTTTCTCCTGCACTCAGCCCATGGGCCCTCCACCTTGGGCCACACAGGGCCTGCCCCCTCGGCCCCAGGGCTCATTTTCCCAGTCGCATGCCTCCCTCCTCAGGGTCCACCCTGCCCTGGTGTGCACCTCGATCTTGCTGTTGTACACCAGGATTTCCAGTACAGAGGCCTCTTCCCCACATGTGTCCAGGGAGGAGAGGTCGTAGAGCGAGGAATACACCGGGCCGTAGGCCCAGTCCTTGAACTTGCGGGACAGGTGCCGCGTGTCCTCATCCGTCACCTCCCGTCTAATGATGTGCTGAAAGATCTGTCCAAGAAAGGGAAGAGTCAGGGGCCCTAGGGAAGGGACACCACTGCTCAGGCTCCCACTCTGGTGGGACCCTGGGGTGTGGACCTCCTACCTAATGGCATCTCCCAGGAGAACAAAACAGAAAGGAGGGAGAAACGTTTACTGAGCACCAGCTGTGTACCAGGCTCTTTCCTCATGTTGCCTTGTCGGATTCTTACTCCCACCACCTCGGCTGATGAGCATGGAGGCTCAGAGAGATGGAAGGCATGACCTGAAGCCACACACCTCTCAGGTGAAGCTAGACTTTGAATGCAAGTAAGTCTTAATGCTCTTAATCAGTATCTTCTTCATGTAATTAAAATAGCAATGAATCAATCTTGTTGTTGTTAGCTGTCAGTAAGGTGATTCCAACTCAGGGACCCACGTGACAGACTACCATTGCCCCACTGGGTGTTCTCGGTTGTCATCTTGATAGGAGCAGATCAACAGGTATGTATCCCATGGAGCTGCTGCGTGGGTTCAAACCACTGAGTGCCACCAGAGCTCCTTGATCGATCTTAGTGATATGTTAATCATAGTTATCTTACTTAGACCTTCCCATGACTATGCCACTCTTCAGTGGTGCAGTGGTTAAGGCATTTGGCTGCTAACCAAAAGGTTGGCGGTTCAAACCCACCAGCCACTCCACAGAAGAAAGATAAGGCAGTCTGCTTCTGCAAAGATTGACAGCCTTGGAAACCCAATGGGGGTGGTATGAGTTGGAATCAACTCGATGGCAGTGAGTTGGGATTTTTTATTTTGTTTTTGGCTTACATACAGGAGAACCAGGGTACAGGGAGGTGCTGTGAGTGGCCTGAGGTCAGGCAGTGAGTGGGGCAAAGCCAGAATTTAAACCCAGGTGCTGTGCACTGCCTCAGGGATGGTGTCATTGTGACGTCAGTCATTTCTGCCCTGTAGGAGAGTCCTGTTAACTGTGGTCATTTGAGTCCATCCTGGGCTCTTTATGATGAGTGTGGTAGTTCAGTTTGTGTGTCAACTTGGGTAGGCCTGGTTGAGTGGCTGGGCAGCTGGAGGTAGTATTCCCCATGATGAGACTGGTAATCAACTCCAAGGTGGAATCTACTGTGAGCAGCTGAGTAGCTGCCTTAGGGATGTGGTCTGCTTCCTGTACATAAGCAGAAGTCTTGGGGAATGGTCTCTAACTTATGGCACACTTGAACCCTGCATGTAGCCGTGTCGTTGCTCAGCAGCCTGCTATGTTCTGCCAACCTTGGGACTTTCAATGGACTTGAATTAATGGCCTGCCGTGTGGTTTGCTAACATCGGGACTGTGCCATTTTATGTCAATCTTGGGCTTGTCAGCCTCAGCAGCCAGTACCTACCTCCAGCTTCAGTGGGCCAGGAGCAAGAGGCAGAGCTGAAGCCCAAGGTTGAGGGGCTTTCACACAGCCCCTAGAGTCTGGCACTTTGAACTCAGACTTCTAGCCTCCAAAAATTGTAAGAGAATAAACTCCTGTTTGTTCAAGCCATTCCCATCTGTGGTAGATTCTTGTCAGAGCGGCACCACGTGACCAGAACAACGAGCTTTCCATGCAGCCCTCATTAGTCATCACAACATCACTGTGTCACAGGGCACTCTTATTGTCCCCATTTTACAGATGAGGAAACTGAGGCACAAGGAGGGAAGGGAGATGCCTGAGGCCACACGCTGGGAAGCAGCAAGCCAGGCCTTGGACCCGAGGGTGAGCTTACCCCCAGGGGACACTAGGCAATGTCTGGAGATGTCTGGTTGTCAAAACTGGAGGAGGGGGTGCTACTGGCGTCGAGAGGGTCAAGGCCAGGGAAGCTGCTGAACTCCCACAGTGCTCAGGACAGCCCCACCACAAAGGACTGGCCCACCCAATGTGACAGTTGTGCTGAGGCTGAGAGACCCTGCTCTACTGCTCTAGGCCCTACACCGTGAGGCCCAGAGAGGGGAAGAAACCAGCACAAGGCCATTCACCAGGTCAAGGGCTGAGCCATGACCCGTTGATGGGGTATGTGGGAGTCCTGGAGGGCTGGATCCCTGAGACTTGGTTTTATGTCAGTGGCTTGTCCTGGCTGGTTGAGGGGGAGGTGAGCATCCAATAGGATGAAACAAGGGAAGAGTCTCTGGGATTGAATCGAATAGCTTGGCTAGACAAGAGGGAGCCACAGCAGGTTCCTGAGCTAGGATGTCTGCACACCGGGATTAGCACAATGGGATGTGGGTACGTTTATTTATAATAATGAATGACAGCAGCTGCCCTCTTGTGTGTGTGTGTGTGTGTGTGTGTGTAAAGGCATAGGAATAGATGGGTCAGCTCGGCCCACCCCCGGCCCCACACTCACCCCGATCTTGCCTGTCTTGGCGGCCATCATGAGGGGCGAGAGGCCGTCATTGTTAAGCACGGCCTCCAGGTTGCTATCGGGGAAAAGGCGGGCACACTTGAGCAGCAGCAAGTCGTACATCTTGGTGACGAACTTGGTGTTCTCGCGTGTGTTGTCGGCGATGGCCACCAGTGCATGCAGCACTGTGTTGCCGCGCGAGTCCTGCCGCCGCATGTCTGCCTTCTTGTGCGGGTTCTCCGTCAGGTAATTGACGATGTGGGGCTGATTGGTGCAGGCGGCCAGCGACAGGGGCAGCTCACCTGCGGGCCAGGTAGATGGAGGGTGGTCAGTGTAGGGGCACCCCCCAAGGTGGGGCTCTGCCTGTGGACCCTCAGGGAACCCCATGAGACTCCGAGCGCAGGACAGATGTGGCCCCAAGTCACTGTGAGTGGGTCACTTCCGTGGGTGACACTGGGGCGGCTACTGGAGGCATGGCCATGAGACCTGGGGGCTGCAAGGGGCTGGAGGAGTCCCTGAGTGGTGCACACAGTTACTTCACTTGGCTGCTAACCTAAAGCTTGGCAGTTCGAGTTCACCCAGGGGTGCCTTGGCAGAAAGGCCTGGCAATCTCCTTCTGAAACCCTCAAACCAAAAACCAAACTCACTGCCATTGAGTCCATTCCAACTCAAATTATAATTTTTCTATAATTTTTTATAGAAACACACTGCCTCATCTTTCTTCTGCAGAGCGGCTAGTGGGTTTGAACCACCAACACTCTGATTAGCAGCCAAATGCCTTAAGCACTACACCACCTGAGCTCCTTTCCAAAACACTAGCCACGGAGTAGGTGAGGACGGCTGCACAACTCAGAGAACATAATGAGTGTCACTGAACTGCACATTAGAAACCACTGAATGGATGTATATTCTGAGTGTATATTCTCAACAACAACAAAATTAATAAAATAAATTATTAAAAAATTCACCGAGGGGATCAGTGTAGGAGATCCTGGACAGAGCGAGGAGAACAATGTGGGACTCAAAATCATTTAAAAAAAAGGGGGGGGGACCAGGTTTGCTGGTCTGATAGAGCCTGATGGAACCCCAGAGACTATGGCCCCTAGCTCCCCTTCAGGTCTGGAATTGAACCCACTCCTGTGGCTTCCAGCCAAACAAGAGACAGGCATAGGAGCTGCACATTTACTTTAGGTGGATACACTCCTTGGAGGGATCAATCATGGGAGAATGGAAAGGCTGTGTATGCACAGGGAGACAGCTCAGGGGGCAGGCATGCATGGAGGGAAGGACACAGGAAGAGGTAACTATGGGGAGGAAGTGGGAAGAGAGCTGTCGCTTTGTGGGAAATTGCAGTCACAGTCATGAGACAAAGTGTATGTGGGCTGCTGTATGGAAAGCGAATTTGCTCTGTAAACTTGCACCCAAATCATAAAAAAATAAAAAATAAAATTCACCTAGGGTTAAAAAAAAAGACTCCTTGACCAGTATTGCCAGATTGCGAGCGAACGCTTCCCGATCTCCTGCCACACTGGTCCTCTAACCGCCAGCGTCCTCTCCCACCTGCTCTCGTCCCTAATTGTACTTGGGTTAGAGTCCCGTATCCTTTGCCCTTCTGCTGACTGAGGCAGACTAGCCTCTCAGAAGCCATGCTGTAGATGACAGAGCCTCAGAGCAAGAAAAAATAAATCAATAAAAAGAACTATAAAACCTAAACAAAAAACATAAAAAACACAACAAAGAGGGGTTGAGAGGCTGGACACGTGTGATGCTCTGACTTTGTCCCTGGGTCCCGCACGTGTGAGTGTGGGCAAGAGTGAGCAGATATGTCAGTGGCCCAGCCGTAAGGACACAGCGGTGATGGGGACTGGACCCGGCAATGCAACAGTTGGCCCCGGTGAGATCGGGCTGCAGGACACACGCAGCAAGGTACTGGGTGCCAAGGACGTGTCAGCTCCAACCCACCTCAGCCCCACCCTGTTCTCATGAGGCCACTGCACAGCGCTGGAAGCTGAGGGTCAGGGAGGTGAGATGGCACACTGGCAGTCGGTCCCATGGCTGGCAATGAGGCTTTTGGACCCAGGGCTCTCACTCCTCACGGCATAAACTCAGGAGCAAGACAGACACATAGCCTGTGACTCCATGGGGGTCTGGGCCGACGGCCAATGCCAGGCCTGCAAACATCAGCCTGTACCCCTTCCTCCCCACCTCCAAGCTTCTCCCCTTTGTACCCCCAGCCCCTGCCAGGCCCCTCCTCACCAAAGTAGAAGTAGCCACCCTCATCCTTGGGCTGGAAGAAGCGCCCTCGGGCCTGGGCATGGACGTCAGCCCCTTGGGCCACAAGGAGCTCTACGTAGTGTTTGCAGCGGCGCTCGATGGCGATGTGCAGGGCCGTCTGACCTGTGGAGGGACAGAGGGCAGTCACTCGGGGTTAAGACCCTACCAGGTTTTGCTGTTGTTAGCTGCTGTCAAGTCCATTCTGACGCATGGCGCCCCCTAGTGGGCAGAGTAGAATTGTTCCGTAGCATTCTCAAGGCTGTGACCTTTCAGAAGTCTTTCTCCCAAGGTGCCTCTCAGGTTTGAACCACCAACCTTTCAGTTAGTAGTCAAGGGCTCAACTATTTGCACCTTACCGGGTTTGTTGTTGTTGTTGTTATGTGCCGTCAAGTCGGCCCCAACTAATAGCAACCCCTCCTTGGGTTTCTGAGGCGGTATCACTACAGAAGTAGATTGCCCAACCTTCCTTCCAAGGAGTGGCTGGTGAGTTTGAACCGCCAGCCTTCTGGTTAGCAGTCAAGTGCCTTAGGCACTATGCTACCAGAGCTCCCAGGTCTAGGAGGGCAGAATGTGGACATCAGGGTGGGGCCTGCAGGTTAGAGCTTCAACCAGCCCCACCTCGAGGGCAGCAAACAGCCTCAACCGTTCTCCAGAAGGTTCTCCTGACACCGTCTTTGACTGATACCGGCCTAGGTCTGCTGCGTGGGGGAGCAGCGTTAGGCTCACCGGACATCACCTGGAGAGCCTGCACGTGCAGGGACCCTCAGACGTGCACACACTCTGATGGTGGAGGCAACAATGGCTCCTGGTCTCACACAATTTCAGACCCTGGATATGAAACTCATAGACTCTGAACCTGCAAGGCAAACACCGATTCACAGCACCTGAGAATTTACAACTGGGGAGGGAGCTTGGAATCCGGCACCTTTGCCTCTGAGAGCCATTGGCTCACAGACTCATTGCCGTGGAGTCTGGGGGTGACCAAACCATCGCATCTTAGGTCCAGAATTCCAAGTTCATGGTCACTAGGCCCACTGTAGCTCAGAATCTTGGCAGTTTTGATTCTGAGACAGAATTGCAGTTGGAAGGGCTAGTTATGGTTCCTTCCTCCCTCCTTTCAACAAGTCCCTGGGTACGTGTTGGCAGTGGAGGTGCAGACAGCAGTTCTCGGGGCCAGACAAGCCAGGATGATGCCCCAACACCCCTGCAGCCCCTTCCCCTCTCATGGCCGACCCAGCCCACCTCGGTAGTAGACGTCCCGGAAGGGCGAGTTGACGAACTCTCGCGTGTTGCCAGTGCACTCAGCAATGTCCAGGAGCAGGGGGATGGTGTCATTGTGGCCGTTGCTCAGGTTCAGCAGGGCCTTGGGCAGGCAGGTCTTCCCCGTGGACGGCTCTAGGGCAGGGACGTGCGGCGTGAGGCAGTGCTCGGCCTGCAGCCCCTGGGCTGCCGAGCAGGAGGGGACAGAGCCCTGGCCAGGGAGTCAGGGGCCCTGGGATCTGGTCCTGGCTCTGTCACGTGTCCTCTGTGAGCCTCAGTTTCCCAGTTCTCACAGCACCAAGAGGATCAAATAACCCATGGGGAGATTTCAGTCAATGTCATGAGACAAAGTGTGTGTGAACGGCTGTATGGAAAGTGAATTTGCACTGTAAACTTTCATCCATATCACAATAAAAATTTTAAAAAATAATAAAATAAAATAAACCCATGGGGCAGAAGTGCTTTGAAATATGGGAAGGCATATCCTATAGCTCACTACTTACCAAAGCCTGTTCTGGGGAATTTTTTTTATTGGGATATAATACATGTAACATAAAAATTGAACCATTTTTTAATGTATACAATTCAGTGGCACTAATTATATTCACAATGTTGTTGTCTTTACTATTTATTTCCAAGACTTGTTTTTTTTCCCCAAAATATGTTCTGGAGAATTTTAAAAAGGGCTTTGTGATCAAATAAAGAAGGGAAAATATCGGCCTAAACAGAGCCAAGGGTGCAGTGGTGGCTCAGTGCTAGAACTCTCGTCTTCGATGTGGGAGACCTGGGCTTGATTCCCAGACAATGCCCCTCATGTGTGGCCGCCACCCGTCTGTGAGTGGAGGCCTGTGTGTTGCCATGCTGCTGAACCAGATTTTGACAGAGGTTCCCAACTCAGACAGACCAGGAAGAAAGGCCTGGCTATATCCAAAAACCAACCAGTGGGAACGTCATGGATCACAATGGTCTGATCCACCCCCTGTCACAGGGATGGTCGGGGCCAAGCCACAGTTTTGTTTCCATTGTGCATGGGTCACCATGAGTCACAGCTAACAACAGCCACGAACAAAGCCAACCCTATTTCTGTATGATGGGACCTGTTTTAGTTACTTCATGCCGCTCTAACAGAAATACACCACAGGTGGAATGGCTTTAACACATAGGTTTATTCTCTTACAGTTTAGGAGGCTAGAAGTCTGAGTTCAAAGTGCCAGTTCTAGGAGCTGGGTGAAGGCCCCTTGACCTTGGGCTTCAGCTCTGCCTCTTGCTCCCGGCCCACTGGAGCTGGAGGTGTCTCTTCACTCAGGCAGCTGCTGGCTGCTGAGCCTGACAAACCCAAGGTCGACAAGTAAAATGGCACAGTCCCAAGATTATCAAACAACACAGCAGGCCACAGTTCAAGTCCAGAGACTTGGGTGGCATAAATGGTTTGCAGTTCTCTACTAACCTAAAGGTGGGCAGTTCAAAACCACCCAGCAGCATGGAAGAAAGGCCTGGCAATCTGCTTCCACAAAGATTACAGCCAAGACGACCCTTTGGAACAGTGCTACTACTCTGTAACACACAGGGTTGTTGTGAGTCGGAATTAACTCCACGGCAACACATTTGGTTTTTTGGTTGAAGTTATTACTCCATGGGAGTGCCTTAGGAGCAACTATTTCCCTAGGTCCAGGAATCAGAGGAGAGAAACTCAAAGACTCAGGGAGACCTGAATTCCAGTCCCAGCCCTCCCCCGAGTAGGACTGTTACTGGGACAAGCCTCCTTCCCCTTCCCCACTGTACCCCCAATGCCCAGCCCAGAGCGGACACCTGGTAAGTGCTTCTTGAATCAGTAACGGGGCTCTGCTTTTCTGTCTGCATGATGAGAGGGCTGTCCCAACCTTGGCCAAGGCCCCAGGGGAAGCTGAACAGACAAGCCCACACAGCCTACAGTACTAATTCTTTTCTGTCTTTTAAGCAACTCACAACTCTTAACGCTGACTTCTTTGTCTTTCCCTCCCCAAAACCACCTTCAGCTCCCATCTGTCCCTTTCTAAGAGGTTGGTGTCTTGGGCATCAGCCTTGTCCCTGTCCTCCCCTTCTCCCCTACCTAACCTCGCAGCATGACCTATTGATTCTTAGCTCCTATTTCTTTAATCCATCCACCACTGTCCACCTGCACTGCCACCACCCTGATCCAGCCACCATCTCTCTTGCATACCCAAGACATCTCCCTGGGTTCCCAGCCTCTTTGTGGCCTCCCTTCAATCCACTTTCCATACAACAGCCAGACTGGTCACCTCAGATCTGCAACTCTGATCACAAGTGAGCCCCAGGGCTTTTGCACATGTGTCCCTTCATGCCCCCCCTGGTCTGAAACATTCCTGCCTCCTTTTTCACCTGGTTAACTGCAACTCATTCATGACTCAGTGAAAGCATCACCTCCTCCAGGAAGTTCTCCCGGTTTTCCTGACTAGGTCAAATCTTCCAGTACAGCCTATGGTCGGTGCCCACGGCAGTTTGTGATTATGTAAACATTTCTGTGCTTGAGTATTGTTGATCTCACCCGGGACACCCTGGGCAACTAGAGGGCAGGGTCACATCTGCTTCCCTCACCATGCCCCCTGCAGCCCCTGCACTGAGCAGTACCTGACACTTGTTGGGTGCCCAATATCATTTGTTGTGTCAATAAACATTCAATGAAGGGGCAAGGTGGGCCCCAGGGATAATCCCAAACCACAGATGACCCAAAGTGACTTGTGTGGGGTGTGAATGTAGACCCTGGCTTTGGGTCTCTACATCCCCAGACCTGGGCTACAGTGGAGTAGGGGCTGCCAGCCTGGATTCTGGGATGAGATGCCAGGAACAGCATGTTCCCAGAGATGGAGAAAGACTCAGTTCCAGGGCTCGACCACCAGGTGGCGAGATGGCTCTTCTCACAGGGGCTGCTGGTGTGAGGGGCCCTAACTTTGCAACTGCCAAATTAGCTGGTGTCTAACTCGATGGCATAGTGGCTAAAGCACTTGACTGCTAACCAGAAGGCTGGCGGTTC